CGGAAGACCTCACAGTGACAGTGGCAGGTGGACCTTGTGAGGACTTTGAGAGTATCTAGTAACTCTTCCTCATGACCTAGGAACGGCACAGGAGTATGGGGGCATCATCCGGCATGGCGCTAAGCTTCTCTATGCATTTGCTGAGGCATCTGTGCCCAAAGTCACAGTCATCACCCGGAAGGTGAGTCCATCATAATGGGGGCTGTGACCTCATTCTCCCAGCAGCACAGCCATGGTGAAGGGATGAGGAGGCCGAGAAATCTCACCTGGGAGGAAGGAAGAGTATACTTTGCTCCTTATAAAGATTTCTCACGGACAGTACTTCCAGGTCTATAGAGATATCCATGGCCTTTTTTTTTTTTTAATTGCCAGATTAAAATCAATTCTCCAGAAAGAGGAAGAAAGCACCTCTAATGGGTTATGGTCATGTCTCAATCCCTTCTCCATTACTTCATCCTGTCGGGATTTGCCACACATGCCTGGCATGTTTTTCTTTCTTTTTCTTAAATTTATTTATTATCATTATTAATTTTTTTAAAAATTTGATCAGAGACAGAGAGAGACAGTGAAAAAGGGAAAGTGAGAAAGTAAACCGCCAGGTCTGGGACTTAAACCACAGTCAGCCATGTGGGAGTCCAGTGCTTTAACCACCACGACACCTGTTGACCCCCTGGCATGTTTTTCAGGATGCTAGGGCTGGGATTTGAATCACAGTTGGCCATGTGGAATCCGATGCCCTTAACCACTAGGCCATAGGGCTGGCTCTCCTGGTCTTTTTTAACAGGATAGAATTGAAAACAACAGTGGGGAAAAGCCAGGTCAGATGATGAAATTGGATGAACCTTGGGCCTTCAGCAGCCCAGGAGGGCTATTCTAATTCTTCGTCCTCATTTCGCCTGGCTTCCTGGGGCCCTTCAGGGACTTCATCTGGTTGTCTCAGGCACTGACAGTCAGCATTGGGTCTGTTACAGGCCTATGGAGGGGCCTATGATGTCATGAGCTCTAAGCATCTTTGTGGAGACACCAACTATGCCTGGCCAACAGCAGAGATCGCGGTCATGGGTGCAAAGGTAAGGTCTTCTGCTTTCTCTTTTCCTGGGTCTAGAGACTGTACTCTCTCAGCAGGAGCTCTAAACATAGCTGGGAAATGTGAGGCCAGGACCCCCAGGAGGGCCAGGACTGCGGGAACTGGGCATAGTCTTTGGCACACGCTCCTGGGGCTCCAGGGCAGCTCTGGCCCACGTCCTGCACTCGCACCACAGGTACACACTGATATCTTCATGACAGGGTGGATGGGTCGGGCGAAAGGGATGGAAAGTGAGAGGGGCATGGAGAGGCTGCTGAGGTGGTAAGTGAAGTGGGGAGAGGGCTGAGTGAGCAGGACCAACCTTTGGGAGGACTGGGCATTCCCTCAGCCCGACCTCAGTTCCAGGGAGGGGCCTGGAGTCATCCCTGTCCACCCCTTAGAAGCTGAACTGTGATTTCAACACTAGAGACGTGGAGAAGGTACTGCTTGACCTGCTCCTCACACCTTCCCTGCTTAGCAGTAGCTGTTGGGGTTGAACAGAAGCTCCCAGGGCCCCCAGAGCCGATGCACTGCTGTTCTGACTGGAAGGCTGATCCTTCATTTGCAGTTTAGTCTGTGGTCTGCTGGCCACTGAATTTATAGTAGGGCTATGAAAAATGAAAATAGCACTTTTTATTGCCCTTGGTGCAGAGACATAGATTTAGTAGTAGGAAATGAGAACAGTATATTGGCCTCAGAGAAGGAGGATGAATGTAGATGGGGTGCTGGATAGTGTCTGGGGAGAGAAGATGCTGGTGTGCCTGGCTTCCCCCATCCACGTGGCTCCTGGGGTTATGTGGTGACCCCAGGCAGTGCCTGCCTCTCTGCTCTGGTCTTTGGAGTGGGCACTTCTCTCTCACACACTCAGCTTTACCAAGTTCACAAGCAACATACAGTGATAATGAGTGGAAGGAGTTCTGCCCGAGGTGGAGCCTCCAACCATGTTTGTCAACTTCTCTCATGACAGGGTGCTGTGGAGATCATCTTCAAAGGGCACGAGAATGTGGATGCTGCTCAGGCAGAGTACATTGAGAAGTTTGCCAACCCCTTTCCTGCAGCAGTGAGAGGTAGGGGCTGTGCTGGGGAGGGGAGCTTTGTTCATTTGTGTGGGCACTGTTTCACATTTTCTTTGTAGTTTTATTTGTTGGCTATTGAACGTTGGGCAGTCCCTGGGCAGTCAGTATTTAAGAACAGTGGGGCTTGGATAGGCTGCTTTGGTAACTACGATCAAAACGACACATTTTTTTTTTTTAAGAGAGATTTTTGCTAGAGGACACGTGCGCTTGCCAGAGAGACAGGAAAGCGAGAAATCACCCCCTGGAGGGATGGCCACACCACAATCCCTTCCCCTCCATTCTCCTTTCAGGATTTTGGGCATGCACACACAGGTGCCTGGCATGAGTTTGAAGCTGCCGGGTCCAGGACTTGAACCATGGTTGACTACATGAGAGTCCATTACACCATCTGCTGCTCCCCCAAAACATCATTCTTGAATTGGCCAAATTTCTAGGCATCATTCCAGTTTGCAGGCGCTGTGTAAAGATCCACCCCAAAACTCAGTGACTTAAATCAGCTTTACTGCGTATGGTTACGATGGTCAGCAGTTTGATGAGGCTCAGCAGGGTGGGTCTTCTGCTGCTCTTGCCTGGGATCCTTCCTGTAGCTGTGTCTTTGGTAGCTTGACTGGGGCTTTAGAGTCCAAGATAACCTAATTTATGTACTAGGTATGGGCTTATTGGCTAGACTCTTTCCAGGCTCATCCTTAAGGAGGCTAGTAGAGCCTGCTTTGCATGTGTCCTGAGGGCAGCAAGAGAGTGAGGGGAAGCTGTAAGGCCCTTTCAGTCTAGGTTTGAAAGTCAAACTGTCACTTTTGCCACATTTTATTGGCTAGAGCAAGTCATAGGATCAAATAAAGAAATAGAATCCACCATTTGACAGGGAAAGCAGGAAGGTCACATTGCAAGAGGGACCTGTGTACAGAGATGAGAAGAATCGTAGCTGTTTTTGAAAATATAGATGTATTTTTTATTGCCAGTGATCACGTGCACTTGTCGGGTGGGAGGGAGGAAGAGAGAAAGCACCCCTAAGGGAGTGAGACCATGCCACAATCCCTTCTCCATTTATCTATCCTGTTGGGATTTGGGGCATGCACACATACATGCCCAATGTGTTTTTAAAACACCAGGGTCAGGATTCACACTGTAGTTGGCTGTGTTGGATATGGCATTCCATGTACACCACTTAACCACTGAACTACAGCCCTAGATGAATTTTCTTAGTTTTAGTTTCTGTTGAATTCATTTTGGCAGGGTGGAGGCATTGGAGCAAGCAGGGGGAGAGAGGGGATCACATTTTCCTCTTCTGACCAAGTGCTCCTAGGTCAGAAGTTGGGAACCTGTAAGAACAGGCAACTCCAGGGTCCTGCCCCTCTGTAACAGGTTGGGCCCGGCTTACACTATTAGACCTCGGGCTAGTGTCAAAGGTGAGTACGAGGTAGTAGGGGTGGCAGCGTCACCTGTGGTGAGATGATCTGCTTCCTTTTCTGTGCTTCACCAGGGTTTGTGGATGACATCATCCAGCCTTCCTCCACCCGTGCCCGAATCTGCTGTGACCTGGATGTCTTGGCCAGCAAGAAGGTCCAACGTCCTTGGAGGAAACATGCAAATATCCCACTGTAAACAAATCGAAGGGAAATAAACAAGAGCTGAATTATTGTCTGATCATTCATACCCCATTCTTGCTTTTGGCAATCATGAAACTTGGGAATCTAAATACCAATAATAATTGGGAATAACTAAGTTTATAAAATTCTAGAAAGATCTCTTTTGTGCCTTACTGTAAAATGATTTGCTTTATTAAAAGTCTTGATTGGTATTCTTGAGCATAAATTTCATTTTTTATGGTAGAGGTCTGAAAAAAAATAATGAAAATTGGGAAGAAAATAGCCTATAGTATTATCAGCTAGAGCTGGTTGTATTCAGAATAGGGTTTTTTTTTTTTTTTGAGAGAGATTTTTTTTATAGTGTGTGTGTGCTTTCTGGAGAGACAGAGACAGAAAGAGAAAACAAGAAATCATTCCCCAGGGGAACAGTCATGCCACAGTCCCTTCTCTAGTCTCCTCTGTGGATTTTGGGTACACATGCACCAGTGCCCAGTGTGAGTTTCAAGCTGCTGGGTCCAGGACTCGAACCTTGGCCAACCATGTGTGAGTCTAGCACCTTAACCACTGTACCACTTGCTAGTCCCAGCAGAGTGGTTCTGCTCTTACTCAGGAATCTTCTTGTAACTGTATGTAGTCTTTTTTGATTCCCTTATGTATTGTTTTTTTCCTCCCAAAAATTACATATATATTTATTGGAGAGATTTTTTTTTTTTGCTCTAGGGTGCAGACAGACAGAATGTGAGAAGTCATCCCCGCGGGGGGATGGCCATGCTGCAATCCCTTCTCCTCCATTCTCCTGTCAGGATTTTGGGCACATTTTCTGTGAACTCTTTGACAACTCTTTTTTTTTCATAGTGATTACCTTGGTTCCCGTTGTCTTTGGTATATTTTAGCCATTTGCTCAGTACTGCCATAGTATGTTTCAGAATTACTATAGCTGTACCAGCAGTGAACCTTTGAAAGTAAGGCTCAAGGCTTTTTTGTAGTTATCTTAAACTGAAGGTCTATACTTGGAATGGTAACTGAGTGGTTATCAGTGTGAATTAGAGTTCTTTATTCATGTTTGTAGACCACTTCAAAGCTTCGCTCCCATCCTTTTTTTTTTAAATATTTTATTTAACTTTATTATTATTATTTTCCAGTTTGGTCAGAGAGACAGAGAGAGAGAGAGAAGTGAGAAAATAAGCTACCAGGTCCAAGACTTGAACCGTGGTCAGCCATGTGAGAGTCCAGCACCTTTAACCACCATGCCACTTGCCAGCCCCCCTCCCATCCTTTTTGACTCTATTTTACTGAATATAGAAAGCATTTTTACCAGAACTGGAGATTTTTAGTTTGAGTGGAAGAACCACCCATTGCATGCAGCCCTCGGATGTTCCTGAGTGCTCTCCTCCGTGGTGAGAGCCCATGGCCCTCCTGTTACCGATGACTTTCCTTGATTTAGGCCTTGGCTCCAAAGGTCTGTAAGCACTGCTTGGTGTTGCATCATTATTGCAAGGTCACCTTCACATGTGACTTTCTGTATTCTACTTTCCCCATGTCAAGCAGCCTCCCCTTGTCCTCTTGCCATTCCAAGTGTTAACCTAAAAGGCTAAATTGAAGCAAACAGGTAAATCAAAAAGAACTTCATTTGAGTGTAAGTTTGAGCACTTCACAAGGGAACATCCCAGACTGATGAAGTCTTTTTTTTTTAAACACATTTTGTTTCAGTTCTTCTTTTTAGGGTAACAGTACATAGTGCCCAGTGAAGCAACTTTAAAGCAACTTTTTGACCACTTAGCATCCCCTTTCAACTTGGCATTTGAGCCTAGACCTTTGAGTCCCCTGCAACTCCTGACAGTTGCTGGAGTTGCTGGATATTAAGGTGAGTTCTCCTGTATGTTAGGTCCAGACCTTATTTGGGTTATTATTTTGCTGTAGGGCACATGTGCATGCCAGAGACAGAGATGGAGAGATACAGAGAAAGTTCGAAAGCACTCCCCACCCCCTGGGGGATGACCATACCTCTACTATCCTCTTAAGATTTTGAGCATGCACTAACATGCACCTGGTTGGCCTTTGGTTTTTCTGTAAACTTTCCTTTTCCAAAGATCCTTCCCTTAGGGAGATCTGCCTCATTTTAAAGACCAGTTTTGCTTCTTTTTTTTTTTTTTTTTTTTTTCGCTATAGGGCGGGTGCGCTCGCCCAACCGACAG